CATTCCCAACCTCTTCCTGGCTGTCCAGTCATGCAGCTCATGATTCAGTACTCCAGCTGGTGTGAGAGATAAATAGGCCCCTTTGGCAGCATTCAAAGGATGCACAGCTAGGAAAGTCAGGTGCTCACTCAACACTCTCACTTTCCCCTGCAGGAGAAACCACAAGCTGAGAAAATATCTTGGCCCTGAACTGTGCCACCTTGGAGAAGGGGTGATGCAGGTAAGTTAAACTGTTCCTCTTACCCTCTCCAATACATCCAAACTCATATTTTTTTCTTCGGTGGTATGATGGAACTTCTCCATTAGAAACTTGGACTTCCACAGAGACTCTTGTCTATAAGTGATTGTGTAAGACAGCATTCTCCAGGGACTCTTGGACCATGACCAAGAGGGGCTGGAGTCAGTTTTTGGACCACTGCAGAATCTACAGCCAGGACTAAAGTCCACATGCCTATTACCTGATGCACAGTGGGTAAGATCCATTGATATATGGTACTGGATTCCATTAGACTCTAAATGAATCCCAAATTGTTATACTCTGGTTTCTCTTCAGATCGAATAAATCTTTTGCCTTTTACCAAATTGTTGTTGAGGAGGGTCACAGATGAGGGGAATATTATTAAGCCATGTTTCTGATGTCACTCTTTCATTTCTAATATAAGCATTTATTGCTAAAATCCCCCTCTCAACATTGCTTTGACTACATTCCACAAATTTTGTTATGTTTAATTTTATTTTTCTTCAGTTAATTATATTTTTAAAAATTTCCCTTGAGACTTTGTCTTTCACCCATGGATTATTTGGAAGTATATTGTTTAGTTCCAAGTATTTGGGGATATCCTGTTATCTTTATACTGTTGATTTCTAGTTACTCAACAAATTTTAAATTTGTTGAGGTTGTTTTATGACCTAGCATATGGTCAATTTGATTTATATTCCATAGGTGCTTGAAAAAAATGTGCATTTTGTTGTCAAATGGAGTATTCTACACAACTCTATGAGATCCTGTTTGTTCCTCTTTTCTTGTCTTAGCTGATTTTAAAAACAATTATTTGAAACAATATGTATATAATGTATTATTGGGTATATAACTTATAAAAATATAAAATACTTGTCAATAATAACACAAAACAGATGGGTGCAGCAAAACTGTATTGAGTTAAAGAAATTACTACAAGTGCCAATTCAAACACACAGGAACAAATAAAAAGAACCAGAAATGATAATAAAGAAGGTAAATATTTTTTAAAGCTATAGATATATATTTGCTCTCTTTCATTGTCTTATCTTCTTTAAAAGCCATTAAATTATATAAAGTAATAATTACAACAATGTATTTTGAGCTTAACATGTGTGAGGTGTAATATATAACAGTAATATCATAAAAAGAGGGAAAGGAATAGTGCTATATAGTAGTGTTTATGTATCTTACTGGAATTAAGTTAGTATAAATCTGAACCTGCCTCTGATAAGTTGAAATGCGTATAGTAAACCCTAGAGTGACCCCTAGTGATATAACTTTAATATGTGTGTGTATATATATATATATATATTTTTGTATGTATGTATGTATGTGTGTGTGTGTATACATATAAAATTAGAAATCATTGAAGATGTTCTTCAAAAAGTTAAACATAGACTTGTCATATGATCCATTAATTCTACTCCAAGGCATAAACCCTAAAGAATTGAAAATAGGGTATGTCGGTGTTCATAGCAGCATAGTTCACAATAGCCAAAAAGTGGAAGTAACCCAAGTATCTTATAGATTTTTTTAATGTGGTATATACATACAATGGACTATGCAAGTATTATCATTCTGATACTAAAACCAGACAAAGACATCACAAGATTTCAACAAGGTGTCAAGACAGTTAAATGGAAGAAGGAAGTTTTTTTTCAACAAATGGTATGGGGACAACTGGATGGTGAATCATAATTTGCCGTCTTCTGGCTGACAGCAAAAATAATAATATATTGTGGGATTTAATAACCTATGTACAAGTAAAATGTATGACAACAATAGCACAGACTACAAGGGGATAAATTTGAAGTATATTTTAAATTCTTATGCTATATTGAAATGCTATTATATTACTTGAAGATAAACAGTGACAAGTTAAATATGTATAAAGTCTAGTGCAACCACTAAAAATAAAACAAAACAGTTACAGTTATTAAAGCCACAATGACATTATAAAAATACACTGTTAATTCCAAACAAGGCAGAACAAAAATAGGTAAACAAGGCAGAAAAATGTAGTAAAAAATACAGATGAAATGTATTAAGATGTAATAAAAAATACAAATGAAAAGTATCAAGGTGGTAGACTTAAATCCAAGCTAACCCATAATCAAATATAAATGGTATAAAAATATAAATGGTATAAACAGTCTAAATTAAAAGGCATAGATTTTCACTTTGGATAAAAAGTGAGAAACTGGGGCGCCTGGGTGGCTTAGTCGGTTAAGCGTCCGACTTTCGCTTAGGTCATGATCTCGCGGTTCGTGGGTTCGAGCCCCGCGTCGGGCTCTGTGCTGACTACCAGCTCAGAGCCTGGAGCCTATTTTCAGAGTCTGTATCTCCCTCTCTCTCTGACCCTCCCCTGCTCATGCTGTCTCTCTCTCTCCTAGAAATAAATAAAAATATTAAAAAAAAAAAAAAGTGAGAAACTGCTATAAATACTGCCTATGAGAAACCCACTTTATACATAAAACAAATAGGTTAAAAGTGAATGGATGGTATACAACATTGTGAATATAATTAATGGCACTGAATTGTGCACTTAAAAATGGAGAAAAAATACATTACATGTATTTTAACACAATAAAATAACTAGTAAAGTTACAAATGAAAGATGAGAAGAAAATAAATTATGGTAACAGTGTAGAAAACCATCTGATGTAAGTATTTTGGAACTCAAGTCTATATGAATGATTACAGCTTCCTGGGGAAACCTTGGCTAGTAAATTGAAGCTCATTTTTATTAATTTCCATTTTAGCACAGTAATGGGTACCCATTTTTCATCCACGAAGTCTATAGCAAGCAGGCATATCTACGTTCCTGGTGTGGCTTTCTGGAACCACCATGGACGACAATTAGTACCTTGTCCCCAAATATTGGTGTTTGGTATTCTGATATTTTTAAGGCAAGTATTTTTGTTTTGTTTTTATTTTAGAGAAAGAGAGCATATGCATGTGCTGGGGAGAAGGGCAGAGGGAAAGAGAGAAAGAAAGAGAATCTCAAGCAGGCTCTACACTCAGCAATGAGCCTGATGCGGGGCTCAGTCCCATAATCTTGGGATCATGACCTGAGCTGAAACCAGGTAGGATGCTCAACTGACTTAGCCACCCAGGTGCCCCAGTATCCTGATTTTTGACTGCTGCTTTTGACCACTTAGATGCAGCCCAGAGGCTGACTACTGTTGTTTTAACTTGCAACAGTTGAAATTTCTTCCAGGGGACTGAAGAACAACCCCTGAGGTATTTTTTCTCTATGTTTCTTTTTACCTTTTTTCCCCCTTTGAGAGTCAGACATTTAAGGATTATTATATTCAAAATCAGACATGTATACAGGGAAATTTAGAAAGCTTCTATGTATACCCACAGAAACGAAGTATCAGAAAAGAACTGAGAAGATCTCGAGCTTTCATCTCAGGATAATCTCAAGCAAAGAACACCCTTGAACAACTTGACAGAGAGAGAGAGAGAGAGAGAGAGAGAGAGTGGAAATTCTGGGGAAGAGGAACAATCTGATTCGAGTTACCACATTATGAAATTCAAATGTCCAGTTTCAACAACAACAAAAAGTCACAGACATACAAAAGGAAAAAAAAAACAGTAAAGTATAGCCCATTTAAAGGAACAAAATAAATCACCATGACCTGTCTCTGAGGAACCACTGACATCAGACTTACTAGACAAAACAATAAATACAACTTTCTTGGACCACGTAGGTGTCTCAGTCAATTGAGTGTCCAACTGTTGATCTCAGCTCAGGTCTTGATCTCAGGGTCATGAATTCAAGCCCTATGTTGGGCACTGCACTGGGCATGGAGTCTACTTAAAAGCTTTCTTAAAGATGCTCAAAGAGCTAAAGAAAAACATGGGAAAAGACAGGAAAATGATGTATTAACAAAACGAGAATATCAATATCAAAAAGAGATAGAAATTTATAGAAAAGAAGTTCTTGAACTGAAAAGTACAATAAGTGAAATAAAAATTAACTGGAATGCTTTAAAAGTATATTGGAGCAAGCAGAAAAATGAATTGGCAAACTTTAAGATAAGGCTATTGAAATTATTTAGTTTAAGGACTAGAAAGAAAAAGGAATGGAGAAACGTGAACTGAGCCTACCTGAACTGTGGGACACTATAAAACAGTCCAACATATATCTTGTGGGATCACATGTCTAGAAAATAGTGAGAAAGGAGCAGAAAGAATACTTGAGGAAATAATGACTGAGAACTTCCCAAATTTGATGTAAGACATGAATCTACAAATCTAAGAAATTCAACAAATTCCAACTAGGATAAACAAATGAACAAAAAAACCCACACATTATAGTCAGACTATGAAAATCCAAAGACATTCATGAAAGTAGCAAAAGGGAAGCAGCTCCTCACAGAAAGGAATCTCAATAAGGTTATCAAGTGGTTTCTCATAAGAAATCTTGGAGGCCAGAATGTAGTGGGCTGATGTATTTAAAGTGCTGAAAGCAAAACAAAAAAAAAAAAAGGAAAGTCCATTATGATGTCTATATTCAGCAAAACTGTCCTTCAAATATGAGGGAGAAATTATGACATTCTTGAATAAACACAGAGGGAATGTGTTACCACTAGAGCTGTTCTACAAGAAATGCTAAAGGGAATCCTTCAAGTTGAAATGAAAGAATGCTAGACAGTAACTCAAAACTATATGAAGAAATAAAGATTGGTAGAGCTTGTGGATCCTTCCTATGCTGCTTCTCATTTTTGTTCAGGTCTGTAGTGCTGGCAAGATGGGCAAGTGCTGTGGTTGTCATACTGCCAGGAAGCTCCATAGCCAATGACAAGATCAAAAGTGATAAACGTGCTAGAAGGCCCATTTTGGCACACCCCTGAAGGCCAAACCTTTTGGTGGCACTTCCCATGCAAAAGGAATTGTGCTGGAAAAAGTAGGCTTTGAAGCCAAAGAGCCAAATTCTGCCATTAGGAAGTGTGTCAGGTTCCAGCTGATCAAGAATAATAATAAATAATAATAATAATACCAAGATTAAAAAAATCTTCTGCACATTAAAGGAAACCATCAGCAAAACTAAAAGGCAACCAACGGAATGGGAGAAGATATTTGCAAATGACATATCAGATAAAGGGTTAGTATCCAAAATCTATAAAGAACTTATCAAGCTCAATACCCAAAAAAACAAATGATCCAGTGAAGAAATGGGCAAAAGACATGAATAGATACTTTTCCAAAGAAGACATCCAGATGGCTAACAGACACATGAAAAAATGCTCAACATCACTCATCGTCAAGGAAATGCAAATTAAAACCACAATGAGATACCACCTTATACCAGTCAGAATGGCTAAAATTAACAACTCAGGCAACAACAGATGTCAGCAAGGATGTGGAGAAAGAGGATCTCTTGTACTGCTAGTGGGAATGCAAATTGGTGCAGCCACTCTGGAAAACAGTATGGAGATTCCTCAAAAAGTTAAAAATAGAACTACCCTACAATCAAGCAATTGCACTACTAGATATTTATCCAAGGGATACAAGTGTGCTGTTTCGAAGGGGCAGATGCACCCCAATGTTTATAGCAGTGTTATCGACAATTGCCAAAGTATGGAAAGAGGCCAAATGTCCAGCCCAGAAGATGTGGGGTATGTGTGTGTGTGTGTGTATGTGTGTATACATATGTATAATGGAGTATTACTTGGCAATCAAAAAGAATGAAATCTTGCAATATGCAACTACATGGGTGGAACTGGAGGATATTATGCTAAGCAAAATTAGTCAAAGACAAATATCATATGCCTTTACTCATATGTGGAATTAAGATACAAAACAGATGGACATAAGGGAAGGGAAGCAAAAATAATATAAAAACAGAGAGGGAGACTCTTAAGTTCAGAGAACAAACTGAGGGTTGCTGGAGAGGTTGTGGGAGGAGGGATAGCCTAATGGGTAAGGGGCATTAAGGAAGACACTAGTTGGGATGAGCACTGGGTGTTATACATAGGGAACGAATCACTGCAATCTACTCTTTTTTTTTTCCCGAGTAAATTCTTTTTATTTATTTATTATTATTATTTTTTTTACAAATAGTTTATTGTCAAATTGGTTTCCATATAACACCCAGTGCTCATCCCCACAAGTGCCCTCCTCCATGCCCATCTTCCCCCTCCCCCCCACATCCATCAGTCCTCAGTTTGTTTCTCAGCATTCAAGAGTCTCTCATGGTTTGCCTCCTCCCTTTCCCCCACCATTTCCCCCCTTCTTCTCCCCCATGGTCCTCAGTTAAGTTCCTCCTAATCCTCCTATACGTCACTGCAATCTACTCCTGAAATCATTATTGTACTATATGCTAACTAACTTGGATGTGAGTTAAAAAATAAGAAGAAGAAAGAAAGAAAGGAAGAAAACTTTAAAAAATAATGACAAAAAAATCACAGCCTTTGTACCCAGTGATGGTTGTTTGACTTTTATTGAGGAAAATGATGAAGTTCTGGTTGCTGGATTTGGTTGCAAAGGTCATGCTGTCAGTGACATTCCTGGAGTTCACTTTAAGGTTATCAAAATAGCCAATGTCTCTCTTTTGGCCCTATACCAAGGCAAGAAGGAAAGACCAAGATAATTAAGTTTTGCTGGTGAAAACATGGCAATAATAAATTTTCATTTACCAAAAAAAAAAAAGGAAATAAAGATTAGTAAATGTGACAATTATAAAAACTAGTGCTATTGCAATTTTTTCTTGTAACTCCATTTTTTATTTTCCACATTATTTAAAAGACAAATGCATAAAAAGAGTTCCTAATCTATGGCATTGAGCACCAAAAATACAAACATGTAATTGGTGACATTAGTAACTAAAAGGAGGGAGAATGAGCTGTATAGGAACAGAGTTAAGTTGGTATAAATTCAAATTAGATTGTTATAACTTTAGGATATTAAATTTAATCCCCATAGTAATGACAAAAATGTATATACAACATATACAAAAGTAAATAATGGAATAAAAACTTTACTACAGAAATAATCAACTAAACACAAAAAAAGGCAATAACAGAATGAAATACATGAGAGGCCTATAAAGCATATAAGAAAGCAGTTGTAAAATAGCAGAATTCCTTCCTTATTTGTTACTACTTTTTGTAACTAAATTAAACTCTGCAGTCAAATGACAGAGATTAACACAATGGATTAATACACATGATTCAACTATATGCTTCCTGTAAGTGGTTCACTTTCAATCCAAAACTTCAAATAGGTTGAAAGTGAAAGGACAGAAAAGGATATTTCATGCAAATAGTAAATAAAAGAGAGCTGGAATGATTATTCTAATATCAGATTAATAGACATTAAAGAAAAAAGATTATAGTAGACAAAGATATTGTATGTTAATAAAGGTTACTACAGAAAAAAAGATATACTATTTATAAACCTAGTAACAGACCCTCAAAGTATATGAAGCAAAAGTTGATAGTACTCAAGAAGGAAGTTGTACTACAAAAGTGATTGGAGACTTTAATAGCTAACTTTTAAAAAGAGATAGAACAACCAGACAGCCGATAATAAGGAAGTAAAGCAATTGAACAACACAAGAAACCAACTAGACCTAACAGACATAAACCAACATTCCACCCCAAACAGCAGAATATACATTCTCCTAAAGAGCACCTGGAAAATTCCTAAATAAATTAGGTCACAAAACAAGTTCTGATAGATTCTTTTTTTTTTTTAATGTTTTTTTTTTTTTCTAGGAGAGAGAGAGAGACAGCGTGAGCAGGGGAGGGTCAGAGAGAGAGGGAGTCACAGACTGAAATAGGCTCCAGGCTCTGAGCTGGCAGTCAGCACAGAGCCCGACGCGGGGCTCGAACCCACAAACCGCGAGATCATGACCTAAGCGAAAGTCGGACGCTTAACCGACTAAGCCACCCAGGCGCCCCCTTTTTTTTTTTTAATTTTGTTAGTTTATTTTGAGAAAAAGAGAGAGCATGAGCAGGGGAAGGGCAGAGAGGAACAGAGGATCCCATGCAGGCTCCACAGTATCAGCACGGAGCCTGACATAAGGCTCAAACCTACAAACTGTGAGATCATGACCTGAGCCAAAGTAGAAATCTCAATCAACTGAGCCACCCAGGTGTCCTCCCAAAAGATCTTTTAAAATAGATATCATACGATGTATTTTCACTTATAATAAGGAGATGAAGTTAGAAATCAATGATAGAAGGAAAAGAAAAAAATCACATACAACACTCTTAAGCAACAAATAGGTGAGAAAATCATGAGGGAATAAAGAATACTTGGAGTCAAATGAAAAAGAAAACACAACATATCGAAACTTATGGGATACCACAAAACCGGTTCTCAAGGGAAATTTATAGCTGTAAATACCTACATTAAAAAGGAAGAAAGATTGAAGATTGGATGCCTGGGTGGCTCAGTCGATTAAGCAACTCTGTCTCTCTCTCTCTCTCTCTCTCTTTCTGCCCCTCATAGGATTATCTTTCTTTTCCATACTCTGCCCTTTTTTCAGTTGTGCCCTCTCTCTCAAAAAAAGGGGGTGGAAGATCTCAAATTGATAACCTAACTTCTCCAACTCAAGAACTAGAAAAAGAGGAGCAAATTAAATCCAAAGCCAATGGAAGCTAATAGTGAAACAGTAAAGATTAGAATGAATTTAAAATAGATAATAGAAAAATAAAACCAATGAAACCAAAAGTTGGCTCTCTGAAAAGATCAGCAAAACTGACAAAGCTTTAGAGTGAGAAAGAAGATGCAAATAACTAAAATCATTAAACTGGGGACATTACTAACAATCTTACAGAGAAAAAAATTCTAACTATATAACCATAAACAATTGTATATCAACAGATTATATAATTCAGAATAAATGGGCAAATTCCTTGAAACACACAGCTAACCTGACTCAGAGAAAATCTCAACAGACCTATTCTAAGAGGTTTAATTAACAATTTAAAACCTCCCAAATTTCACAATGAATGAAATCATATGGTATTTGTCTTTCTCCAATTTATTTTGCATAGGATTATACTCTTCTAGCTCCATCCATGCCATTGCAAACGTCAAGATTTCATTCTTTTTTTATGGCTGAGTATTATTCCTCTGTGTGTGTGTGTGTGTGTGTGTGTGTGTGTGTGTGTGTGTGTGTGTATGCTACATCTTCTTTATCCATTCATCAGTCTATGGACACTTGGGCTATTTCCATAGTTTGGCTATTGTAGATAATAGCTATAACTGCTATAAACATCAGGATGAACATATCTCTTTGAATCAGTATTTTTGTATTCTTTGGGTAAATAGTAGTACAGTTAATGGATCATAGAGTATTTCTATTTTTAACTTTTTGAGGAACCTCCATACTGTTTTCCAGAGTGCCTGCACTGGTTTGCATTCCCATCAGCAGTGTAAGAGGGTTCTTCTTTCTGCACGTACTCACCAACACCTGTTGTTTCTTTTGTTGATAACCATAGCCATTCTGACAAGTGTAAGGTGATGTCTCATTGTAGTTTTATTTTTTTTATTAAAATAATTTTTAATGTTTTATTTATTTTTGAGAGAGAATGGGAGATAGCATGAGCAGGGGAGGGTCAGAGAAAGAGGGAGACACAGAATCCGAAGAGAGGCTCCAGGCTCTGAGCTGTCAGCACAGAGCCTGAAGCCGGGCGTGAACCCACGAATGTGAGATCATGACCTGAGCCGAAGTCCGAAGCTCAACCGACTGAGCCACCTAGATGCCCTTTTTTTTTTTTTTTTTAATTTTTTAATGTTTTATTTACTTCTGAGAGAGAGAGAGACAGCATGAGCAGGGGAGGGTCAGAGAGAGATGGAGACACAGAATCGGAAGCAGTCTCCATGCTCTGAGCTAGCTGTCAGCAAAGAGCCCGAAGCGGGGCTCAAACCCAGGAACCGCGATATCATGACCTGAGCCGAGGTCTGGCGCCCAACCGACTAAGCCACCCAGGAGCTCCCCCCTCCTTTTTTCAAAAATTTTTAATGTTTTTATTTACTTTTGAGAGCGAGAGCAAGCATAAGCAGGGGAGGAGCAGAGAGACACAGAATCTGAAGCAGGCTCCAGGCTCTGAGCTATCTGCACAGAGCCCAATGCGGGGCTTGAACCCACCAACTGTGGGACCATGACCTGAGCCGAGGTCAGACGCTTAACCGACTGAGCCACCCAGGCGCCCCTTAATGTTTATTTATTTATTTTGAGAGTTGGGAAGCATGAGTTGGAAAGGGTCAAAGAGAGAGGGGGGGAGGGAGAGAGAGAGAGAGAGAGAGAGAGAGAGAGAGAGAGAGAGAATCCCAAGCAGGCTTTGTGCTGACAGCACAGATGTGGGACTTGATTCCACAAACCATGAGATCATGACCTGAGCAGAAATCAAGGGTCAGACGCTTAACGACTGAGCCACCCAGGTGCACCAGATTGTAGTTTTAATCTTTATTTCTCTGGTGATGAGTGATGTTGAGCATCTTTTCATGGGTCTGTTGGCCATATGGATGTCCTCTTTGGAAAAGTGTCTATTCATGTCTTCTGCCCACTTTTTGATTGAATCATTTGATTTTTGGTTGTTGAGTTTTATGTTTTTTTAATTTTTTTAATTTTTTTAATGTTTTATCTATTTCTGAAAGAGAGAGAGACAGTGTGAGCAGGGGAGGGGCAAAGAGAGAGAGAGAGATACAGACTCTGAAACAGGCTCCAGGCTCTGAGCTGTCAGCACAGAGCCCGATGCGGGGCTCGAACCCACGAACCATGAGATCATGACCTGAGCCAAAGTCAGACGCTTAACCGACTGAGCCACCCAGTTGCCCCGAGTTTTATGTTTTTTTAAATATATTTAGGATACTAATCCTTTATCAGATATGTCATTTGCAACTATCTTCTCCTATTCCGTGGGTTGACTTTTAGTTTTGTTGATTATTTCCTTCACTATCCAGAAGCTTTTTATTGTGATAAAGTTCCAGTACTTTATTTTTGCTTTTGTTTCCCTTACCTATCTGGTAAAAAAATTGCTATGGCTGATATCAAAGAGGTTACTGCCTGTATTCTCCTCTAGGATTTTAATGGTTTCCTGTCTCACAATTAAATCTTTAATCCATTTTGAATACTTTTTCTGTATGGTATAATAAAGTGGTCTAGTTTCATTCCTTGGAATGTTGCTGTCCAGTTTTACCAATACTACTTTTTAAAGAGACTGTCTTTTTTCCTTTGAACATTCTCTTCTGCTTTGTCAAAGATTAATTGACCATATAGTTGTGGGTTCATTGCTGTGTTTTCTATTCTGTTCCATTGATCTATGTGTCTACTTTTGTGCTAGTACCATGCTGTCTTGATCACTACAGCTTTGTAATATAACTTGAAGTCTGGAATTGTCATGCCTCCAGATTTTCTTTTCTTTTCTTCTTCTTTTTTTTTTTATTTTCAAGTTTTAAAATTAGTTTCAGGAGTAGAATTTAGTGATTCAGCCCTTACATACAACACCCAGTGCTCATCACATGTGTCTTCCTTAATCCCCATCACCCATTTAACCCATTCTCCCACCCACCTTCCCTCCAGGAACTACAGTTTGTTCTCTTATAGTTTTTTGTTTTTGTTTTTGTTTTATGTTTTTA